AAATCCAAAATACAAATTATATATATTATCAAGCTACAGCTGCATGTACATATAATTTGTCAACATCTAGAGGTATTTTAATTGTAACAAGAAAACCATCTGTGATGGCAGATTCCCCGGTAACCTGGCATATAGGTATGCATTCAAGCTTTAGGCAGACGAGTCAATATTGCAAGACCATTTTGTACATCACAACAGAAGTGTAGATATATATATATATATATATATATAATAAAGGACTACACTGCCCATTTTTCTGTGCAGCTTGTTTCTTGAATGTACATTGCATGTCCAAACTTGACTGCCATGTATTCACTAGCAAATACATTGCAAGAACTAACTTTGTTCTTGCAGGACATTCTCTGAAAGACTTTCATAGTATGGGACATTATCTAGATAATACTATGCCTTTTGGGCATTGTCTAGTTATTGCCTGCCTACTTTTTGTCAATTTTACAAGACCTTGACTATCTGACTTATTTGTAGAATATACCAATTTTGAAAGTTAGGGTAGTTGACAAAACTCTTGCTAGGGTTCAAACTAGCAACTCCAAGTTCAAAGGTAAACATCTCGTCTTTCGATCTACCAGGAATTTGATTGCAAGGTTGCACGTGAAGCCAATGGTTAATTTGTTGTATGGGAAAGGGGGGGTGTAGCGTTTTGTATGGCTCATTTTCAAAATTTTGCTCGGCGACACAAGATGAAAAAGTCCTATTTCATGATTGACATTGTTTAGTAAGTTTCCAGGGTGATGATAGTTTTCCATTACCGTATATACAATGATGGGTTATCTCCCATAATGCATTACATACATGTGCAGTAACATTCTCAGTAGTGCAAAATTTAAATTTGGCTTGAACTGCCTTAATTTAGAGTACTAATGGACAGAAAAAACAAACCATTTCATGTATTAAATATCAATTTTAATGATACAATGGTTTCACTTTTATTAATTGAACTTATAACATATCTCCCGAGAATTTATAAGATGTTCATCTATTCTCTACAGAAGTGATTAATCAACTTTCAATAACCAGACTATACATTTTAACAGCAAACTGAGAAAAAGAACACATTTAATTGGACAAGCACACGTTTATCAATGTATAGATCAAATCTTTCCAGCAAATGTGCCAGCTTCCCTTTGTTCATCCCAAGATTCTACCTGTAATAAAAAACACAAAAATTCAATGATAATAACATGGCATATGAAAGTGGAAGAAAATTGATTTATTCAGCTCAAATACAGCCTGTGTCAGGACAAACTACAAACCAATGTCTCAGGTTTCTGCTTGCCTGACTTAAGATAGAAGCCTTTTCATGAATGCAAATATCCAGAATTTATTCTTTTTCCAATAAATTGTACTTTCAGGCAATATAACAATATTGACTTAAAAAAAGTTGGGGTCACCAGCTTAATTTTTGAGAAAATTACGGTTGTATTTTAGTGGATAGTGACTATTTTGGCAGTATTATAACGCTTTTACCATAAGTTCATATGGATATTAGAGATATTATGCCATATCTTAAATTGTAGGCTGGGCTGAAATACTATATATTGTGAATGATGAAATGATAATACATTTATTAGGCTGATGCTTAAGTATGATTTTGAACAGTGGAGGGCCTCCTCACCCACAACTATAATCCTAACCTTGCCCCTCCAGTGCTCCTCCCCATTTTAATTGTATATGCTCTTCAGGTAAAGTTATCTGAAGGGGTATATTCAATAAGCCATATTTCGCTCACTGCGAGATCTCGCATGGCCAAGCTTTACGTCCTTGGCAACCAGTTTCGATAATCAACAATAGTGTTGGCAACTTTTTGTTGTGGTCGCAAATTCTGAGTGCTGGACACTATCTAATTCTGTGAGCAGATCCCTGATCCACAAAATAGAGACATATGAACAATGGATACATCGACATAAAAACAGGATCTGAGGTGAAATAAGCTATGGAATTGTGCATGTACTTTGAAATCAACAGTACAAATGGCTAAAATTTATTTCAAACAAATACTACCGGTACTTGTATGTATGGGCCAAATCAGTGTTTCGAGTTTATAATTTGCATTTCCAATCAAATCACATGTAAATGACCAAATACAATTAATTGTATACTGAATATGACTTATTTTGACCACACACTCCTGTCATTTACATGACATATGCTACTCATCAAGAAAATATGGCACCTGGCTATTTTTTGACGCAGGCTGATTAGGGCATACTACGTACTTGCTATATTAGAAGCGCATTTCCAATAGAAGCATATATAAGTAAACAATTGTATTTATTGTATACTGTATCATTTTAGTATGACTTATGACCATGTACAGATCTGAGCTCATGTTCAGATTCATTTTCTGTAACCTGTTAGTGAAGTTGTTGCCATAACAAATAATGCATGCTAGAGAATATATTAAAACAAGGACTAATAAATGCAATTCTGGGGTTAATCTGCTCTTCAATTAAGATGTGCTTCTAATACTAATGCTTCTAAAATACTTTATTTTCGCTTGGAATTTATTTGAATTTATTTTGCTGAAAGGCTGATCAGTGATAATAAAATTCAGCAAATATATGTTTTTTATATTTTACATTCAACTCATCAAAACTCAGTTAAAATAAACTCCACAGTGTTCTCCCCAGATTCTAAGCCAAGCATCGCAGCTAATTTACATAACAATACATCTTATTTGCATAATTTTGTTTGCATAATAATTAGTTTCCCCAACAAACATTATAACTGAGTAAAGAAGAGATACATATCTCATATATTTTATATCATTTACATTCCTTGTGTTTTATGTGTGCATCAAGTCAAATAAAGTTTGAAATAGAACAGGAAAGAAATGGAAATACTTATAGCCAGTCAGTAAATATATT